CGCATCGATGGATTTCTCAATCAGCAGTCGCTTCAAGAGGAAATTTTGCAAGTTCGAGCTCCCAGGGATCTTGTAGTTCTTTCCTGTGAGCGCATGGATCACGCGCCACAGGCGATCGTTCTCGGTCACCAGCGCGCCTGCCGCCTTGCAGATCTCGCTAACCTTGTTGGCGATCGTCCCCAAGTCCCCTCTTCCACCATGGAAAGCAACATCGCGATTCCCGCACACCACGACCAGGCCCTTGCATGTGTTGACGAGGTCAGATATCGCCTTCTGCAGGGAGTCGATGATGGGGTTGGCGGTCACCTGCCATCCGCATCCTCTCATGCACACCCAATCATATAGCGACATCCAAATGTGCACCGACATTGGTGAGTCATCCATGTCTCGCTTCCGTCGTTCAGCGATGAGCTTATCCAGCTTCTGCAATCGAGAGATGATATTCAACGTGTCGTTGGGTGAGGAGACTTGCTCACTCGACCCATAGTATGATCTCTCCTCGATATTTGTCCATCCCTGTTCGTTGACCATCATCTGGAAGGTCTTCGTGCTCCCTTTCGAGTTGACGGCCCTCAGGGGCCAATCCAGGACCAAGAAGCTCTTCTGGTGGATCATCATGTCGCGAATCGTCGCCTCGCCAATGGGGCTCCTCTTCTGCCTCTTGATAATCCGGTTCAACTGTCCAGGTGCGTTGTCCGGGTTCTTCTCCGCCTGAATCAACGCGTTGATGGCTTTGGCGCCCGGAAGGCGTCCAGTAATCAGGCATCCTGTTTGAGCACACAAGAAAGCATATAGCTGTAGCCATGCCGCATTTCCCTTTCCAACATAGGATAGAATAATCTTCTCCGCGCTGGTCTTCTCCTCGAAGTGCAATAGCGAAGAGGTCAGGCATCTCAGCATACACTCCCAATATGTTGCGTTCTTGCCTTCTGCAAGACACGGCCCAAACACAGTTTGTATGATTGGGTACCCCGTATTGTTGTCTATGTTGAATTTCACATTGACAGTCGCGCCGCCCAAAGTGGTACCCCCTTCGAATGAAGTGTAGGTATCGTGTCCAGCAGTTGGGTTGATAATTACCCATCTGTCGTCGTCACCGCCAGAGTTCATTCGGAAAATGGAGGCGATGATCTCGTTGTCGATCTTGACAGCATCGCTGGCTTGCGACCCCCCACTTGGAGCTCCCGGCTGGGGGACTGACCCACCAGCGGTTTGACTCCTTTGCCCTGAGCTTGATGCCGACTTCTGCTGTCGCTCCGTCTTCCGTGGCGGCTCCGTCTTCGATGAGCCCATCACCCACCATGTCGGCTCTTCCCCAACCACGAAATCCTCGGGGTACTTCTCCAGTTCCCTCTCGATTTCATGAATCGTGCAGTATATATTCTGGAAGAATTCGATCATGACGTCCTTCTCGGCCTTCTTCTCGATCTCCTTCATCCAGCTTACCCACTTGCGCCGATCTTGGTTCTCAGCGGCCCTGTCGGCCGCGTGCGGTGCCAGACTGATGGAGTTGATGTTCATCGCAGGCAGCTTCGACTCATAGATCATATCGATGCACCATAGGAAATCCCTGGCGTACTCGATCTCCCGGTAGAGATCGTTCAGCTCCCTTTTGTCTGGACGGAAATAAGCTGTATACGACTGATCTTTGGAGTCCTTCTCACCGAGCAATGGCTGCAATCTCCACATGATGAAAGAGACGCACATGAGCGAATTGACCGCTCCGATGCACGCGTCAGAGATGTCACTGGGGGTTGACCCACAGATCATCCAGCGCAATAGGTTGTTCTGGCTGGCATTCTCATCCCTCCTCAATGCATATGCGAGGTTCTTCATCGATGCCTGCAGCTCATTCTGGTAGACCAACCCAAGGTCCCAATTCTTCTGGTAGTCGTCCTTGGAACCACGACCGTAGAAGTCGATCTTGGGAGCCTTGATCACGCTCAACGTGAACACTTTCCCCCAGTTTCGATCCCTGTATCTTGCGATTCTCCGATCGTGCCTCTCAAACTCTGCAGTCGTCTGGAACTCCTCGGAGCTCCTCCACCTTCTCGATGACGATGCCCTAGATGACTCGTCGCTGATGAATTCTTTGTACACCTCCCCAACCGGGGTGTTCTGGTGGAATGCTGATTTGAACGACCGTTCATCGTTGTCCTCGGCCACGCCCAATGCGAGATCCCAGATGTTCGCGATTGATCTCAACATATCCGCCCCTTCTATGCAATACTTGGTTACGTCGAGCAACACGGGGTTCTTCGCTAGCATCGTTGCCTCACCGCAAAGTTGGTTCAGCGCCGACACGATCTTCTTTCCCTTGCTGCAGAATTCCCTCCATCCAAGCATTCATTCGTCGGCAGAAAGCTGTCCGAAAACTTTGCTGATGAACTCTAAGGCAACCCTCATAGACTGCCCTTCACCTTTCATCATCCCGCGGCCCTTGGCAGAATAGTACGCAGAGTATGCATAAATAGCGGGGACGCCGATGTCCTCGATCCACTTCACGCACATACCCAGGTCGCTGCTCATCTCCATCCTCTTGGGTACCCTCTTGCCTTCCTCGATGGCGTTCTTCACCAAATTTCCCAAGAAGATTGCTGCTTGCCTAGATTTCCCAACAGGCACGCAGAAGAACTCATTCGTATTGACGACAGTCGGATTGGCAGTCATCTTGATGATATTCTCCAGACCCAGGAAAACCCAAAATAAGCGGCTGCAAATGAAGCCACGGAATTGTCCCAATACGATCCCAGTTTCAGATTGAGGTGATGAACTCGTCCAACTCCTCCTTGAAGCTTGGGGTTCGGGACTGACCCAGCTCCCCGTATGCACCAGAGGTTCGGGACTGACCCAGCACCTCGGTTGTGCAGTTGGGGCGGTGCAAATTTCTCTCGCAGTCGCTTGGTGCTTCCGCGATCTCCCTCGCGTAATGCAAGCAAGAGCGAGTTTCAATGGTGCTGGCTTGAGGCACCTTGCTCGAGCACGAAAACGGCGAAGGATCACACCCACAATTATTGACGTGTACAACTGGGTTTCTTTGGTTTCGCGACCAGCACAAGGTCCATGCTCATGGTTTCCATTGCATTTCTTAGACAACGAGCCACCAAGTTCAAAGTTCCATGAGACAACTCTCCATGGTTTCTTGATTGGCATGGGTTTCTTTGCATATCTTTGTTTCAAGCCATAGCGACACCCATCAAACTCGTGACTAGTCCCATCAAGCACGACCTCATGCAGTCTCTCATCTTTCCAATAATCACAACTTCCAGGCAACTCAAACAAAATCGCAGCTCGTTTTGTCATGGCATGCCGTTTAATTTCAACGAACCGTTCAAACAATCTCCAAAATTCTCGTTGTTTGGCCTCGATTTTCTCTGCGGTGTCAATTCCGCGAGTCTTGTTGAGGCGTGCCCATGATGATCCCCCCGTGCAAGGCCCGGCGAAGAACAACAAATCGGAAGGTTTGGTAAGCGCATGTCTGGCGATTCTCCCCCCGTACTCGCTCAGTAAGTCATCGACCAATGTTATGGTGACGACCTGCGGCCCGTTGTGACGGGCAAGGGCAGTGAACCAGTTACGCGGTTCGGAACATGCCATCAGCACAATGGGTCGAGCCAAATCAACACTGTATAAAGTGACGACTGTGCGAGTTCTCATACCAGGAAGCGAGACATGCGCAGGAGCGCGAAGCACACCACCGTCATGTTTAACCATCGCGAGTTCAATACCTGGCGCTAACTGTGGTTTGTGCTTCACCGCAATGCGATACGGAACAAAACAACGGCCCTGGACAAGCTGCTCGTGATTGATATGCAGACAACGCATAAGCAGCTTCAACCGGAGCAAAGTTTCCAAAGCAAGGTCGTTGACACACTTTAATTCTATGCGCTCGTTCGACAGTTCTTCAACAAATGCGGCCAGCACGGACTGCATGTCAACATCCCCGGACCCGACGTGAATTGGTCGTGGTCGTGGAGATCGCTCCCGCGCCGGTACAGCAACCGGCACGGGATGAAACTGCCAAACTGCGCGTTCAACCCATCCATCAATCCGCACACATTGCAACCCTGCCTGGGTCAACCCTATCCTCGACCTTGAGCCATGACCCGTTGCTCAGAAACCAAGTGGAGCGAAGCCACTTGCTCCCGAACGGTGTCGTAACCGCGAGTGGAGGGTTCACACGCATCAATCTGGGTCCCTTGGCAACAACAACCGGATCATGTCCTTCATGTTCATGCAATCCCTCTTTGGACGTCAGTCCAGACCACCACAGGTCCGGGGGCATGATCGGAATGTGTGTGTACGGAAACATGGGAACTCCGTCAACCGTTCCCGAAGCAGT